GGCCAGCTTGTAGTCCTTGTCCTCTCGTGTTGGTGGTAAGTGACATTAGAAAGAAAAGTCCCGGGTTTCGTTTTCCATCCCTTGTGGGATCTTGAATGCTTCAATGAGATCTGTCTTATTGTGCCTTTGTGTGAAGGGGTGTTAATCTTAAGACCCTCGGTCCATTTGGATAATCGAAGTGATATAGTTCTTGAATCATATTAGTCGCTCAGTGTAGCACCTTTTCTAGGGATGTTTGCTCTTGTTGGAGGAAGGGTTTCCATGCCTGTATACAATAATCTACACTGGGGCGTACTTGAGATTTGTACAGTTGAAGGAGCATTTTCCAGGAAAGTGTTCTTAAGAGAATAGTTGTGCTTAGGGTTGTTGTATCCTACTTATAGGATTTTGCATTTCGTAATGCAACAGAGCAGTTCATGCAGGTCTTTCTGCATTGTTACGACATCGTCTTGGCTTGCTACCTTCACATACACCTTCGTGTCGTCCGCAAACTTGATAATGTGGCTCGATATATTTTCATCTATGTAGTTTACTATGTAGATTACAAACAAGATGGGTCCAAGGATAGTCTTGTGGTACTCCACTGAACTTTTTTCATTCAAAATTTACATAAATTGATAGCAATATTACGATATTCTTAACAAATAGGTTTATTTTTTAATCTTAAAATCTTGAATTTATATACGTACTGTACTGTATTTGCATATCAGGCGGGCGTTGGTATAAAACAAGAAAGAACGTCTTAAGTTTTAGCTGTGTAGTTTCTGGCTATACGTTAATTGCGCAATGACAGTCTTAAACATCTTGCTTATGACTGGGGCAGCCGAGTGTATATAACTTTCTCTTCATTGCTTCAGTTAACTACTAGGGTCATACGGCTGTTGGAAGTTGCTGGTTCGTGAATAGGTACAGTCGGGGTCAAAAGTTTGACCCCGCTTAAAATGAAACAGTCAGGGTAAGTCGTTTCGGAGACTCCCGTGATTCAATTTAAAAAACCACGGGGAGCGAACTTTTGTCCCCGACTGTACCTAACTCGACGGTTGGGAAGTAATAGCTGTCGAATGCAAGTGCTAGCAACACTTCCTCCTTTTGCATCCAAAGAAAGGCTTGGTTTTCACTGTGTTGTATCCGTACTGCCTTAAACGGGCCGGCAGGCTTACAGAACTTGCATCCTCGCCTAATATTTCATTGATTGTAATTAATAATGAAATTATGGAAGGCAAATCACTATTATACACATTTCCATACCATACTGTGCTGGGAATGGTTTTACTAGGCCTTCAGACAATTAAAACCTCCGGAAATGAAAACTAAGATCTTGGAAGACATATGACTTAATACATGAGAATTGCCTACACTTCAATCATGTTCCACTCAAGGAGGCTTAAACACGGAAGCGGCATGACGTCATCCTTCGTGCAGGACTTCTGAAGCCAGTGGGCGGGGCTAACGTCCATATTGGACGGTTCAAAACAAAGCATTTCATAGGGTATCTTTTATTTAACTCGTAGCCCTATTTTGTAAAATAAACAATGTAATACTACTGTGGGTACATCACAATACATAATACAGTTTTAGCCATCACCCCACACGATATCGTAGGGGAACCTGGAAGACATGAAGACGGTGCCTATATTAAACTGGCACTTCTGCTTGATACAACTTAATTACAACTTCAACAATAACCGCTGGAATGTTATAGAATCTCCCCTGTCCCTCTAGGGACACTCATATGCCCAGCAGGTTGACATAATAGAGCAAATATAATAGGCATGGACGTCCGCAGGGGGCTGCATGCTCGACGTGCATCAGCAGAACATGTTATAGATAGAATGAAATCTTCCACTGAAGACGTGATTGATCGTTTTGGGGCTGGTAAGTGCTGCCTGCAGTATTTATTTATGTACTCAAATTACGCCTCTAATATTCTGAGCAAGTCACCACCGTGACAGACAGCCAGCATTGGTCGTCCCTAGATTTTCAGGACTAATTATATCAAATTAATTATTTTCTTTAGTTTTTATTGCTTAAGGTCAAACATGAAAATTGTAGTGATTATTTGTTCACACTAATAAGTGATATTGATGATCATACATTACTCGAAGGTAACTCGATTATGCTTGATCATACAGTACTTTTATATGGATGTGTATACCAGTTTTTAATAAACTGATATAGCAGGTCTTGACCTCCCCCCCCCCCCTCCGGTAAAGATCCTACGATGCCCATGAATATGGGAGAAAGGCAACCCGAAAGTTAAAACATATGACTAGCTATTTTCCTTATTTAATCCACTTCTACTTGAATATAAAAAGAATAGTAGTTCAAAGAAAATTAATATGATTAAAATTAATTATCTTTTTTTTCTTTGTACACTACACATTACCGATATGTATCCATGATATTCTGTCATTATTGAGTTATGGTCAAACTTGGTCAATATTTTATGCAAATATATGATATCAGTTGTACAGTATATGTGCCAGGTGTGATGAATTAGTAATACTTGCTTTATTGCCTGCACCTCGCAATTTCCTCAATAACTCCTTCATCTGGGGTAACTAAAGCTGTCTCTTAATTCTTAATTATAAATGGACTGTCTCCTATGTTTGAGAGGTTAGAATTCGATTCAAACTCAAAATACACATTTTGCAATAATATTTTTTTTTTCCATTTTATGCTAATCAAAATGTGGCGGTTGTAAGATAAATGCTTTATGTATTTTAAGGCCATGCACGTACAACGAAATAGTCACGTTAGTCCATTTTAATAGTTATAGATACAGGTTTGGGATCTTTCGAAACGGCTAGAGATTTCCCGTTATTTTGGTTTGAGATTTGATGAAAAAAGTATTCCCTTTTTTTATGCACAAAGGGAGGGAAACTCACCATTAGACACGCAGCCAAACAACCTAAGAAGACGGTAAAAAATTTAACATTTATCAACCGTGGCCATTGTAAGTTAATTATTTTTTTACGGGGATTAGCCCACCAGGGCACAGGTCACTGACCTTACATCGAGGCCTGGGGGACCAAAATGTAATACTATAATAATAATAAATAAAAATAAATCACTTTATACACTCGCAATGACTTTATTCCTGCTGCCAGCCAATTTCATCTTATCCTCCAACATGTATATACGTCCACCGAGAAAAAAAAGAGAGTAATAAAGCGATAGTAGTATAAACTAGTTCTAACACAGTATGATAATATGACTGGTGGCAGGGTTGAGTACGGAGGGAGGGGCCAGGCACTGCAGTAAGCAATGGACCAGTGGTGGGGGGGGTTAGGTAAGTGAATAGAAGTGTTGCCAATTTGTGTGTACACTCTTCACTCGGGTTATGCTTACACATTGTACATTTAGATGTAACAAGACAGTTACACGTAATACACGCTTGTGTAAAGAAAAGCAAATTTACACCTAACCATATCTACTTATTTGCACAAAAAAGGTTGGTAAAAGTTACTATTTACTTTGGAGAGAATTGCCAAGTAGAAGTATATGTATAATGTTCAACATTGTAAACATGACTATAAACAATATTATACTACTTATGTTTAGCCTGGTAGTAAAAAAATACTACATGGCAACATTTCATATTGGTTGGATCAGCTGAGATGTCACGTGATGCCGGCGTGATCTGTTACCCTGGTGACCGCTGCTGCCTCCTAGCTTCTTGATTTTATTTGTAGAATAAGAATCCTCTGTTCGTTAAGTTGGTAGCATTAAAAAGATGTTTACTATAGTGGCGAGTTAATAATATAAAATATTACCTTGAGTTAAACTCACCGTATAGGAAACTGCATGGTGATCCGTTACATTGGAAAATAGGGAATAATAGAAAAATAAACACCCATTCTTATTTTAGTCCATATTTAGCTTATTCGTCTTTACTATGTATGTATTCTATTAATCTAGTTACCCATATGATTTGACTGATGCTGATCTGTAAGGTATTTCCAGGATTGTGAGGCTGGGCTTCCGCAATTCATTCTAAACTTTTTTTTTCAAATTTTAAATATCATCATCTTAATTCAGCATAACTTATAACCAGGTGCATTGCTGGCCTACATGTCTACCATATACTTTAAAGTAATTTGTTTTCTCGATTTATTTTTACTGAGACCTGTAGAATATATATATATATATATATATATATATATATATATATATATATATATATATATATATATATATATATATATATATATATATATATATTTCATGTAGATCCACAATGGAAACGTGACTAAGATAAATCTTGATAAAATCACACAGGGAAAAGGGAAACAATGGAGAACCTTAGCTTTCGTCTTTATTCAAGACATCTTCAGAGGCAACTGAATTACAAAGACTGAGAGAGAGCTTATGTGCACAGGGTGACCTTACAAAACATGAGGTCAGGTTAAAAAAACATGACATCCACTAATCCACTCAGCAAACATAAGAAGAGATTAAAGAACGGGCGACAACTAGTTATGTCACGTCAGGTAAAAAATGAGACCCACTAATCATCTGTCATACATTTACCTTACATGCTTTCAAATCATTTTTAACCTTGGGCCACTGACAAATATACTTGTGTAACATATTATCAGTTTTGTACTGACCATCACTAAGGTTTAAAGAATACATTTCTCTAGTATAGGTACAGTCTGGGTCAAAAGTCTTGAACACTAAGCAATATCTGGCATCTACTTCTGAGTTATACATATATGATTGGGATATACTAATAACACTACTTGTCATCACATACTATGCCTAAACCACAAAATGGGATAAAACTCTCCTTAATACCTAAGATCTTCGGGTACTTACATGCCAATACTGTCAAGTGTTAAGTCTTTTGACCCCGGCTGTACATCGTATAAGGGTGCCTTGTGTCATAATTTTTTTCTTCACAACATGCGTCTTTTGTGGTCTGATATCTAATAGTATATTTAGAAATAAATTGCTATAATTTTATACTGTATCTACAACTGATAACTTCTTTACAGCGTGTTTACTACCTGTCCCTGGAGTACTATATGGGAAGGTCACTAACAAACACTATGATCAATTTGGGCATCCAGTCTGCCTGTGATGAAGCTTTGTATCAACTTGGTCTGGATATTGAAGAACTGGAGTCTCTGGAAGAAGATGCTGGTCTGGGTAATGGAGGTCTGGGACGTTTGGCTGCTTGCTTCCTTGATTCCATGGCCACTCTTGGAATGGCTGCCTATGGCTATGGCATTCGATATGAATATGGTATCTTTGCCCAGAAGATCAAGAATGGAGAACAGGTATACCGTTTTATATATTACAATGTGTATATATAGAGAAACATTTTATTGAAAATAATAATTGTGCCCATTATGAATATGAGAAAATTATGCGAATGAGATGTTTCAAATACTGTATAGTGTGTAGGAGTGGATGTGTCAGCGAATAGAAGTGTGTCAAGTTAAACTAGCCTAGCAGAAGAAAAAAAAGTGTGCATTTAAAAATGTATGATGAGAGAGAATTATGTTAAAGGTGGTAAAAATGAGGTTGTACAGGTGAATCTCAGAGCTGCTATTATTTTGAGTTCTGGATTTGGGAAGAAGAAAATTTGAAATGATAAGTGAAGCGGTTGAGAACACTATGTAAGGTGAATAGAGTGCTGAGAATAAGTGCAAGAATGACTACCATAGATATGGAAGTGAGAGAAGTGTCAGACAGAGCTAACCAAAGTTAAAGATAGGTGAGGTTATAATTATTCAGAAGTGGATTGTAAGAGAGAGAGAGGGCAAGAACATAAGAATGGAGGAAACTGCAGCGGACCTATTGGCCCATACTGGGCAGTCCCGCTAGAATTGAGGGGAATAGACTGCTGCTTCCTGGATGTCTGTTATTTTCAACTGTACAGGGTATTATTTTTTTGCCCCCTAGGTTCCATTGTGGGTCGATGAACTGTGCCTGGATGGCTATTCCCCTTAAAAAAAAAATAGTAAGGAGATGTATGGGGTCATTGTTATGTTAGGGGAGCACCAGCGTATCAGAGAGAATGAATGCCAACTAAGGAATATCTCTGCTTCCTCTTTAATTAACCACCCTCCTTTACAAGAGAAAAAGATATTATGTTCTGTTTAATTGATGACAGACCTCAAAGGTAAGCACAATATTATACTGTACTCATTTCAATTCTTTAGTCATCGGTACGTGGTACTGTAATGTCCTTTAAATGTGTGAGATAAGTATCAGGATGATAATATTTTAATTAACTTTTTTAATACTGTACAGTATTACATTACTTAAATTTTACTTTATTATGTATTAGGATAGTATACAGCAGTACCATATACAGTACAGCCATTATCTTTCTCATAAAGAGGTGCTGTAATGCAGAATATATATTTCAAGAGTTGAATGTCTTTATAGGTTGAGGAACCTGATGACTGGCTGCGTTATGGTAACCCATGGGAGAAGGCAAGACCAGAGTACATGATCCCAGTCAACTTCTATGGCCGAGTTGAGGATACACCCCAGGGCAAGAAATGGGTTGACACTCAGGTAATTTATGTACAGTACCTGTAGTTTGAATTAGTACAGTTCCTTTGGTGCTGAATTACATTAAATACCTGTACAGGTATTAGTATGGTGTGTATTTTTTTTTCTAACTTCATGTCAATACAATTTGGTTTTGTAACATTTTTATTCATTTATTTATCATGATTTTGCATAATTTCATCTTTATCAGATTGTGTTTGCCATGCCTTATGACAACCCAATTCCTGGCTACAAGAACAATGTTGTTAACACCATGAGGCTGTGGTCAGCTAAGTCACCTAACAATTTCAACCTGAAGTTCTGTAAGTGTATCTAAAGATCCTCTTTGTACTTTAAGATTTCTGTATTATTCATGATCAGTAAAGCAGTGACTCCAAGTACATATCCTGTAATCTGTTTCTAGTGTGAGGGGAATTACGTATGTAGGTGTATTAGTGTGTTTTGCATCATCAGTCACACATGTTATTGGCAGGATATATCAAGAACTTCTGACCAGAGCCAGACCAAAGCTGGTGTGTAGATATCTTAATACAGTACAGCACTGTACCACCTTAAGAGTCTATTAGTTTCTGGTAACCTTGACTTCACTTTCAAGATGTATCTGGATTGTGTATTTATTGTACAGGATTGTACTGGGTGTAAGGTTTGTCAACAAAATATTGTACAGTATGTTCACAACTTAAAGTCACAGCCAGACATTCAATTGCTCTTATATCAGCTGAAAACCTCATTGCATTTTATAGGCAAAGACCAAAACCTTGTTCAGACTGTATCTCTGAAACAGTTTGACAGACTGTAGTGAAATTTTGAGGGTTGATATAAGTGATTCTTTTGGGGAAGTAAATGACCAAATCACTGCCTCTGGAAAAATAAGGGACTTATATTGTTACTTACTAAAAAAAAGGGGGGGAAGAGTAAAAACATTCCTAAATTATGTCTGTAGTTGTCCTTTTAAGTAAAACCAATATTCTAACCATAACAAAATATTCATTTGCCATTGGACTGAAAACATTAATTTTCTTATTCTTTCCAGTCAATGATGGTGACTACATTCAGGCTGTGTTAGACCGCAACTTTGCAGAAAACATCTCTCGTGTGCTCTATCCCAATGACAATTTCTTTGAGGGTAAAGAGTTGCGCTTGAAACAGGAATATTTCATGGTAGCTGCCACATTACAAGATATCATCAGGCGCTTTAAGGCTTCCAAGTTTGGCTCTAAAGATCAAGTTCGCACTTCCTTTGACACATTCCCTGATAAGGTAAGCATTTTTATAAAGTTTGGGTATTAAATTCTACTAAATGACTTCATAGGAACACCAAATTATACTTTGTATTTAACTGATTAATTAAATAAAAGTAGTATAAATTATCATGCAATATCAAGAAAACATTCATCTCATCTTCCAAAGAAGGTTTTGTCATGTGTTTATTGATATTTACAACACATACAGTACTTGCAAAATCATAGGGCAAGTACAGTATTCAAAGTACAGTAATACAGTACAGGTATGTAGTACACTGCTGCATTGCCTGTTTTCATGTCTACACATACTGTATATATCCATTTAATTTCTATTGTTGTATCCAATATGTGATTCCAGTGTCTTGAAATAACCTTTTAAAACATTAGGAGCAGTATATAGTACTGTATTGTAAAGGTAGTGTGCCATATACTGTACTGTACATGTGTTCTATTATATTTGATACTTATCACCTCATCCATCTGTTATTGCTTGTAATAGGCATTAATTGTACTCTATCTCAAACTCTTTTATCAGCAAAATAAATATTAAGGTGAAACTTCCTGTTAAAAGTCACTACAGTAATATAAAAAAAAAAGTTTATACCAATCTGTTCCTTGGAATTTGTAAACTTTGAATATAAGATGCAATATTTTACATGCTTTTGTAATGTCTATCTTGACTACAGTAATTTATCAAGTGTTTACTATCAGGTGGCCCTCCAACTGAATGATACTCATCCCTCATTGGCTATACCTGAACTGATGCGCATCCTGATTGACATTGAAGGACTTACTTGGGCTCGAGCCTGGGATATTTGTGTGAAGACATGTGCTTACACTAACCACACAGTGTTGCCTGAGGCTCTTGAGCGCTGGCCAGTAAGTATGTTAGAGCACATCCTACCAAGACACCTGCAGATCATCTATGAGATCAACCACCTTCACCTGCAAGAAGTTGCTAGAAGGTAACTATGACAACCACTTGACATGTTATTGATGAAAAATAGTATGTTGAGCTTAATTTATATTATACAGTACATACTTTTTGTGGATGAAACCCTCTTAATAGTCATAGCTGTCCAAAGTTTTGTATATACAGGTATATATATATATATATATATATATATATATATATATATATATATATATATATATATATATATATATATATATATATATATATATATATATATATATATATATATATATATATATATATACTGTATACTTCCATTATAAAACTGGAGATGCATTCCTAAGGAATTTTTTCGGCCCCAAAAAAGTAATTCAAGCACTTTTATTAATGAAAATAAACATTTATAAACACATACAATACAGTAGTACATTAAATAATTTATGATATACCTTCTTAAAACACCAATTTAGGTGTTAATATTGCATAATATTGCATTATACAGCTATGTGTATGTTTATTTGATTGCCCCGTCATAGGAGTCCGTTTTCTCTCACTTCAGCACTCCTGAGTCGTCCATTTTCTCTTAATCTTAAGAGTGCACCAGAGACTATTATTTTTTTAGTAGTGACACAGAATTTGATATTGCAACTGGGGTTGCAATTGTTGAGGCAACTTAGGTATGTCTGATTACAGTTGGAATATTCAAGATCCATTGTGAGTGATGTTTAAAGCTTCAACTGTCTTTATGGTTGGTAAAACTTGTCAAGTCTGTCAGTCTGAATGCTAGCAGTGAGCTAGTAAATAAGCTTGTACAATGGCAGCAGACTCTGAACTAAGTGCATCAAGATGCTAAAGTTTGAGGAGATAGGCTGTGAGATATATCAGCCAATCATAGGCATCCCATGCAGTCACATGACAGTACTGTATGTAGTGGCCAATCGTAGCTCATGAACACTCTGGAACAACCCCCCCCACCCAACAGAGATATATTTCCTGGAATTTCAGGAATGAAAAAAATCTGGGTAATGAAGAATTCGAGGGATCGAAGACTTCAATTAATGGAGAGATTACTGTAACAGTTTTTAAAGTTTAAAAATTTAGTTTTAAACTGATGTAAATCAGTAGGTGCTATTATGGTACGCAGTCTACCAGGATACAGTATTTACACTGTAGCGTTAGGTTAAGTTAATAGGTGCTACAATGTAAATATCCCAGTAGACGAACTCCTGCTCGATAGACCACATACTAAACTAGTAGCACCGATCAGCAAGTGTTCTGCATTATGATAACTATAAATGACTGTTTTATTCTAATTGACTTGTTCCGACAGCAGGGCCCAAAATTATTCTTTATTAATATTTGCAATATTTGATCAACCATTATGTAATCATCTTCCCCTAGGTGGCCAGGTGATAACGATCGTCTGGGACGCATGTCTCTGGTAGAAGAACACGGTGAAAAGCGAATCAATATGGCCCACTTATGTATTGTTGGGGCACATGCTGTTAATGGCGTTGCAGCAATACACTCCGAGATTATCAAGAGGAACATTTTCCATGATTTCGCAGAAATGACACCAGACAAATTCCAGAATAAGACCAATGGTATTACTCCCCGTCGTTGGCTGTTGCTGTGTAACCCTGCCCTTGCTGATGTCATTGCAGAGAAGATTGGTGAAGATTGGGTAGTTCATTTGGATCAGTTGGCCAAACTCAAATCTTTTGTAAATGACAGTGGCCTCATTCGTGCTGTCCAGACAGCTAAGCAGGAGAACAAGTTACGACTGGCAAAGCAACTGGAACAGGAGTATGGTATCAAGATCAATCCTTCTTCCATGTTTGATATCCAAGTAAAGCGTATCCATGAGTACAAGCGTCAGCTTCTAAACTGCCTCCACATCATCACCTTGTATAACCGCATCAAGGCCAACCCAAGTGGTAAATTTGTACCTCGCACTGTAATGATTGGTGGAAAAGCTGCACCTGGCTATCACACAGCCAAACAGATCATCCGTCTCATCTGTTCAGTGGCTCGTGTTGTCAATAATGACCCCATTGTTGGTGACAAACTGAAAGTTATTTACTTGGAGAACTATCGTGTTACACTAGCTGAGCAGATTATCCCAGCTGCTGATCTTTCTCAGCAGGTTTCCACTGCTGGCACTGAGGCTTCTGGCACTGGCAACATGAAGTTCATGCTCAATGGAGCTCTCACAATTGGAACACTAGATGGTGCTAACATTGAAATGATGGAAGAGATGGGTAGGGAAAATATTTTCATCTTTGGCATGACTGTAGATGAAGTTGAGGAACTTAAACGCAAGGGCTATAATGCATATGAATTCTACAACAAGTTACCAGAGCTACGCCAGTGCATTGATCAGATTCAAAGTGGATTCTTCTCTCCTAATAATCCTGACCAGTATAAGGATTTGATCAACATCCTTATGAATCATGATCGTTTCTTCCTCTTTGCTGATTTTGAATCCTACATTCAGTGCCAGGACAGTGTAAACAAATTGTACCAAAAGCCAACAGAATGGACGAAGAAGGCCCTTCTTAACATTGCATCATCTGGCAAATTCTCAAGTGACCGCACAATTGCTGAATATGGACGGGAGATCTGGGGAGTAGAACCATCTTGGGAGAAGCTTCCAGCTCCTCATGAGCCTCGAGAGACAGAAGCTTCTGAGGAGAAGTAAGTGTAGCCTCTGGGAAAGATTGTTATGGAATGTCAAATATGAAAGGTAGCTTTGAGACACATAATTGGGACATTATAATCACTATAATTCCAAGCTTCAGATGAATTTGTTAATTATCCTTAAATAATTTACTGTAATTAGGAGTACAGTAGTGTATAATGCATTAACTTCATTTTATTTACCTTATCCATTTATCGCTGCTATACATTGTTGATGTTGCTTGTACTGCAGAAGGTTTTTTTACTCTTAGAGATGGCAAATTATGTAAGGGTTATGACTGCTGAACAATATACAAGCATGGATTAAGCATTGTTACCCTTAAAAAGTGATATATGATGTCACCTAGTCAATGACATATGCTCCATTTCATAGGCTAGCCATTAAATCAAAGATATTGTCTCGTGTTATGTGCCAATACAGTAGTACCATTCATTTTCTTACTTGCAAATTGGTTCCTATGCAATTTTTTTTCTGTAAATATAATCTCAGTGCTACCAATTTTATAGGCCTATAATTTGGTATTTTTCTGAATGATGTAACTGGCAATAAGTAAGTGAAAAGTTTGTTGGTTAAAGAGTGTAAAGCTTAAGTATATTGAAAATTATTGTATTATATTTTATAATTATTGAAACATGTCCACTGGCATATTTGTTATGAGATAAATCAGTGTTTTATATTTTAATTTTATTTCTGATTTGCAGAATAAAGTTAGTCTTTGAACTGTTTTTTTCTTTCCTTCTTTTACTAATATAGAGAAGTAAACCCTTGGTGGGTTAATTAGAATAATAAGTGACAACAGAGAGAACAAAGAAATTGGTAGAAATCCAATTTCAAAACTACAGCAGTAATTAGTGTATACACTACTGTACAGCACAGTACAGTACTGTATACCTGTACGGACTTCATAGCCAGTTTTTCATTAGTAGATAAAAAGATTCTAATCTCTACTTTGTTTGTATAACAAGAGTAACTCTCAACTGTATATGTGGATGTAATTAGTTAATCAAATTATAAATGAAACAATGAAAGATATGAAGGTTTCAGTGAGGCCAAACTTCCTGAGGGCAGATGCTGTTGTACAGTGTCTTATAGGTCATGCACCAACAGAAAATTATTGCTCTTTTTTTCTTTTCAGGTGAGGCAATCATCAGACATCCACGAAGATGCAGAGAAATTAACACTAAGAGGAAAGTCTGTTTAATATTCATGTACAGAAAGCTATAAGTTTCACACCAATCGTTTGCAAAATAATTTACCGTAATTTACAACATCCAAGCATATTAGGTGTAAATTAAAATCTCTCGGCTATTGTTTGTGTGTGAAGCATCATTTTTCTAATCATCAATACGTATTAAACTTACTTTTTTCCTTTATTGTTAATTTCTTTGTAATTTTCATTGATTTCTTAAGATTTTCTCACCTGAAAAAAAAGAATTACTGTACAGTGATGCCTCGGTTAACGAGATTTCGGTTAACGAGTTACCTTGACTTCGGTTAACGAGCAATCCCTCGATTAATGAGTTTTTTACGAGGCGACTTCAACATGTTTTCGCTTGCATTTGGCGGTCAACCAGCTGTGGTATTAGTCCGCCAATACAGTAATCGGTTTTAGGGCTTATATTCCTTACTATTTTAGTAAATATCAAGAAGTTTATACTATTCAATAATTTTAAAAGTTTAATATTAACTTTTTTAGTCATTTTAACAATTACTGAACATAAGTGAAGGTAAAGAAATTAGTTTCTGGCGCGCCATCCAGCCTGTTAACACACAAACAGGCGTTAGTCTCTCTCTTCAGTGGAGGTAACATCTTGCTTGAGACTCTCTTCAACTAAATGCTTTTTTTCTGTGTTTCCAAGCAAATTATTGGTCATTTTGAAATTTAATTTACATATTGACAATATACTGTATAATGCAGTGCAGTGTTGATTTAAAGAAAATAATCTTGAATTACACCAAGAGAACTAAAATTTTATGGGTGAAATGGCGACATGGGGTGACTTCTCTTCCACCCCAATGCCTTCTCTTCTCCCTTCTCCTCCACCCCCATTCTAATTCCCATCATCATCATCATCCAGGAGCCTTCTACATACACACCTCAAAGTAAGTGTACCTTTCTACCTTTTTTGTTGAATTTAGGCAATTTTCGGTGAGCTGGAACTAATTACCTAAAAACCCATTGAAACAATGGTTTTGGTTAACGAGTTTTTCGGTTAGCGAGCAACCTGCTGGGACGGAGTGTGCTCGTTAACCGAGGGACCACTGTACTGTATATTCATTTTCCTGTGACGCACACCTATGAGCAGTGTTGTAAAAAGTACCGGACTTTGCTATGAAAGTAAAAGTATTGTCACATTGACAAAATGTTACTCGAGTAGAAGTATTCAAAGATCAATGTACAGTACTCAAGTGGAAGTATAAAAGTACAGTATCTCATTAATAAAGTACTCAAGTACTGAAAGTAGAGTAACAGCAATATTGTTTCAAATATTAAAATAAATACACAGTAAATTATAAAATAAACTAGTTAACTACCAACAGAAATAAAAGACAGCATTACACATGTTTTGCAAATCTTTCTATTGGGATTAATCAATAACCGATTCTCAAAATTATGGCTGTCTAATCAGGGTCTCTTAGGCCCAAAATATAAGCCTAGCATGACCTACTGAAAGAGAATATATTCAGCCCCCCTTCCTACAATCCATTACAGGGATAGTGAATAGGCTGAAAATATATCCATCCAACACTATGATCACTCCTCCTTATCCACACAAGTATATCAATGACATGGACTTGTGGTCTGCAGATATATTGTTGTCTCTGCTCGCATTCGGTTAGGGTACAGACCTATCTGAGGTGGGGGATGACCTGCACTTCTCTTCCTGTAAACTCTGACTGTCCTAATGCTAAAATCCATCAACATTACTGTATTGCCTTGACTGTCCCACTGTCAAGGACCTCCTACCACAGAGAGAGTCACTAACCGCTATATTGTTACGAACCCCTTTTGCCACTTGCCAGCTTCCACTACTGGTTACCAGCAGCCAGGTCGTATATACAGAAGCAGTAGATATATCACGAGTGTAGTCAAATTACCACTAGCTGTCCCGCCAGTCTCCGGTAATTTCTCGACGATTGGTATCAGTGTATAGACAAACAACAAGCAGGTAGATTTTCACCAGGTCAAAGAGACACACTTGTGAACTGTAGTCTCTCTTTAATAATCACTAAATCTTCACAAAATTATTCACAGGGTATGTTCTTAGTACAGGACTTCTCACTTCCAAATATATATAGTCAGCACACTACTAGTGTACAATTCCTTAGTCTTTTCACTTCATATTGCTCACAATACTTGAACAACAATTATCTTTAGTTTGTCACTGGTCTTGTACTTCACACTCTGAACAGAACAGACAACTGACTACCTCAAGGCAACTTGCTTCTGCATATATACCTCATCAGGTGCCCCTAGAACATCTTAGCACTATCCAGCTGTTACAAGTCGGAACGAGACACACCCGGGAAGTTCTAGAATGTTCTACTCTGATCGAGGCTGACCAGCTCTCATTCTAGCTACAGCCCTGCAACACGCAACACCTCCTCTGAGCAAGCTCCTCGCTGACCAGCTCTCATTCTACTCCACGTTCCTGAACCGGCAAAACCTCTCAGCAAACACCTCTTCCAAGCAGCAACTTCCCAGCACCAAACTGCACTGTACAATCAATATATTTATATATAAGAAAATGCATTGTGAGTGTCCTTTCTCCAACCCATCCTGAGTGTGAGACCACATCACGAAACCCCACAATATAGTCTTTGTGGGGAACTTCTGTGCTATACAGGAGACCTAACATGATAGCTATTCTGTGCTTCTTAAAACACCATGAGGCTCAATCATCCGGATCCCCTGGCATATTAAACAGAAAGAATTTACTATTACAGTATATGGTCTATTTTTTTTTTTACGTGAGAGAAGCCACAGAGTCCACTGTGGCCGTGACGTCGATCGGAGATAATTGGAGATAATTGGTTGACGAAGTCGTCAAATTATTTATCTAAGGAAGCAATTTCCATAAAAATAATTATTATATCAGAACTCACTTATTAAAATATAATAAGAATATAAATATAAAAACAAATAATGCGTCGTCTGTGAAGTCCTTCATATTAGCCTTATTTTCCCAGAAAAAAATCTATTAGGAACAAAGAGTCAAAGCTAAAGGTTCACAATAACCTGGGCCCTGACGAACGTGCATCCCAGAGTGCTAAAAGAGATGTGCAACGAGCTAGCTGAGCTCCTAAAATCCTGTTCTGCAAATGAATGGGGTGAGTAAAAATCCCCAGTGACTGCAAAATAGCATATTCAAACAGGCTGATCGCCACTCCACAAACAATTATAGGCCAATGAACTTGACGAATGTAGTGTGTAGAGAACGTTTATACAGGATTCCATGGTGGAACATCTGCTATGTAACAACCTAAAAAAAAAGGAGTGCCAACAAGTTTTTTTCGTGGGACACACCTTTCCTGCTTGACGCAATTACTTAAAGTGCATAAATGGACCCAGGTCCTGGAGCATGGTGACAATATCAATCGATAATATATATATGGACTTTGCTAAAGCTTTCGACAGAGTACCCCAATAAAAAACTGAGAATTAAACTTGAAGGGTACGGGATTTGCAGTTGTGTCCTAGCGTGGATCGCAGACTTCTTCGTGACCGCAGGCAGTGTACGGTGATTAATGGCATGAAATCATCATGTGTATATGTGACAATTAAGTGGGGTATACCACAGGCATAGGTGGATCCAGAAATATCAACAGGAAGTTGAGTGGGGAAACAGGGCAAACACAGGGAGCCCACCCAGCTGGTTGGTGGGGGGGGGGGGCTATCAGCCCCCTGAAATTTTTTCGAAATCTAACCAATATCATGGGCATTTTCAGGCCATTTTGAAGCCATGTGTACTTGATATTAGGAGATATCCTGAGGTCAATAGTAATTACTTTTTACAATACAAAACTACCTGATTACAAAACCGTATTAAAGAAAAAGTATTGGAATTTCCTGATGAAAAGGGGGGGGGGGGATCCGGACCCCTGGATCCGCCCTTAATAAGCTACTGGGTCGTATAAGAAGAGCATTCAGGAACCTCGATGTTTCGTCCCTCGTCAGATACACTCAGGAGACAGTGCCCGGTGCATGCCCAGTACTTGTCAACAGTGCGTAACAGAGACGTGACCGATCGTCCAAGCAGCTAGTGAGCCGATCAGTGGTGAAGAAGATAAAAGTAAAAACAAAAGTAAAAACGTAACTCTTTAAAGGTGAGATGCTTGCTCGCTTGGAGTCTGGTCCTCAAAATATGCTAGAGACAGTTGATTGAAAACCTCCAAAGGTACTCAGAACAATTAGAACGCCTGCAATTGCCTCACTTATGCTATAGGTGGGCAAGGGGCAATTTAATATAAATTTATAAACACCTCAGAGGATATTATTCTGAGTAATTTACTCAATCGAATGTTTATGCCTTGAGCTGGCGGAGGCCCGCCCCACTAGAGGTCACAACTTAAGGCAGAAGCCACAAGTTCAGAAAATTGTCAGGGCAAACTTTTTCGGAGTGAGAATTGTGAACTCTAAGAATAATTTGCCAGAGAGGGTTGTAAACTTGTGACTGCACCCAATGTGAGCCCTTACAAGATCAGATTTGACCAACACTGTAAGAAATACAGATACATTTTGGAACCAGTACGTGCCCGGCATTTACTGCATTTACTGCAGAAGGACCTCTGTGGGCTCCAGGAATGATCGAAGAAATGGCTGCTGAGATTCAATGTCACGAAGTGTAAGAGGATGCACCTGGGGCGTACCAACGGTAAGGAGGCGTATCATATGTCCCAACGGGATGAAGAAACTGCACTAGTTGAGACTGTGTGAGAAGGACCTAGGTGTGTATGTTGACAATGAGCTGATGTTCTCGGGCTATTGCGAGAAGAAGGTAAATCAGGCAAATAAATTATTGGGTCTTATAAGAAGGTCGTTCAGATATCTAGACGGTCCGTCCCTCGTAACGATCTTCAAGAGTGAAGTGCTTTCCCATCTGGAGTACTGTCACCCCGTCTGGTCCCCGAGATATGCTAGGGACTGTCAGTTGGTAGAAAATGTTCAAATGAGGGCCACCAGACTGGTACCTGCACTTCGGCACCTCGGCTACCCTGAGAGATTGGGGCGCCTGAAGTTGCCTAGCTTATACTACAGACGGACAAGGGGGGGGGGGCCTAGTTGAGGTGTATAAGCATCTCAGGGGGCACTACTCAGTTGAGTGTCCTTACTTGGAGCTGGCGGACGCTCGCCCCACAAGGGGTCACAGCTCAAGATTGAAGAAGCCGCAAGTCCAGAAAACTGTGAAGTACTACTGCCTGGTAAGATATTGGAAGCATAATGTGTTGTCTAATGGTAGACCCTGCTGCTATATGGCATTGCAAAAATTGTGACCAAGTCCCAGGTTGCTGATCTGACTTTCTGCCTCATTTACACACAATTGCAGGGTCTCAATTGTTTCTCTTACTTTGACAACACAACATACATCTATTGTTTCTCACTAATGATCTTTTTTTTTAATTTCTTTGTGGTTCCTTATTATTATTATTATTATTATTATTATTATTATTATTATTATTATTATCATTATTATTATTATTATTATTATTATTATTATTATTATTATTATTATTATTATTATTATTATTATTGCAGTGTTTTCATTATTATTATTGTTATCATTATTATTTTATTTTCATTTTTGTATTTTATATTATAAATTTTACTTACCGGTATCTGAATTATTATTATTATTGTTGTTGTTGTTATTACGTTTTCTCCCCCCGGGCCCTGATGTGGGTCGGTGACCTGTGTCCGGGTGGGCTAATACCCGTAAAAAGAAAAAAAAAGTCCAGAAAACTGAGGGCAAACTTTTTCGGAGTGAGAGTTGTGAACTCTTGGAACAATCTACCAGAGAGTGTTGTGACGGCACCGAGTGTGAGCTCTTTCAAGACCAGACTTGACCAACACTGGAGCGGGTTCAGGTACATTCAGGAGCCGGTGCATGCCCAGTACTTGCCAACAGTGAGTGACAGAGACGTGACCGATCAGTGGTGAAGAGGATAAATCTGTTAAAATAAACATGGCAGGTTTTTTCCAAGTATTGTACTTTGGTTTCCTTGTGTACTATATTAGACAAAAAAGTTCATAGGAAAAAAATACTAACCGTCCTAATGGTTCGTGAGCTGTTATAAGTGGTGAAATGATAAATTAGAAATGAAGAAATTAAAAACTAAGTATTTCCCATTTTCTAAGTTTAATGAAGAAAAGTTTGTTAGAAAAAGCGACCCATATTTGTTATCGTGTGTTCGTGTCCTGTTGTCCCTTGAGCCTTCTTTCCTCAAGGGTAAATACCATTACTGTTTGGTCTTTTCCTCGATTCAATAATGCTTAATGGACGAAATAAGTTGAGAAGGCCATACCATGTTTGATAATTGTTCCAGTTAGTTAGAACGAGATAAATTAGAAGATTTATTATAAGCTTGACTCTTTAATGCTGAGTGAAATTTCTATTTTCACCAAATGTTTGGATTAAGCCTTCACAGTCCATCACTGTCCGTGAAAACAAGTAATGGAGAAAATCTGCCTAAATATCTAAATATGCAAAATACTTTTTGACGGGAGTTTGAATAAAACTCTAATTCATAGTTTAGCTGTAAAGTGTCTGGAACATTGTTCTTATTTTCCATAAAAGTTGAAGTGTGTATTTGTAATAGCTAAATATGGTAAATATTTAGAAGTTGCCAACACGTACTTATATATTGTGTCTTGTATAGGGAGAAAGAGAAAAAAAGTAATTGGTAATTATTTACAACTTTGCCGATGATTTTTCATAGTAAACAAATTTTAAAATGCTGTAATTTCACTGTGTTTTACAGTGGACTCTGTCGTAGCTGTGGAAAATTTGTAAAAAAAAGTCTTTTTTTTTTTAAAGTTCAAGGTAACCTAACCTAACAACTTAACCTAGCATCACTTACTGTTACTGAGACGGGAGGAAGTGGTGAATGGTTGTTGTCTTTGAAGACAAACCCAGTTCAGTTTCACAGTATTGATGTGAAAAGTACTTCCTCATGAACACGTTCATAAATTAGAGTATAATTCTGTAAAAAACTGAAGCGTCAGATCACCTTTTCCGGTCCGACTAATTACCCAAATGTACCCGCAATGAAGTCATATAATGGTCCTACATGAATAAATCGGACTGCCAATCACTTCTCGACTAGTATTTGGTGTCACAAAGTCACAAAAAATTGGAAAACTTAATTTAAACTGAGTTAATAGATCGCGTGCTTGTACCGAGGGAGCGAGTAATTACCCAAATGAACCCAAATGTACCCAAATTTAGTCGCAATGAAGTCAAATGATGGTCCTACAAGCGTAAATCGGGCTGTGAATCCCTTCTTGATTATTATTTGGTGTCTTAAAGTCACCAAAAATTGGTAAACTTAATTTAATCTGAGTTGTGTTAGGTTAGGTTAGGTACATGCACTCGATCTATTAACTCAGGTTAAATTAAGTTTGCCAATTTTTGGTGACTTTGTGACACCAAATACTAGTCGAGAAGTGATTGGCAGTCTGATTTATTCTTGTAGGACCATTATTTGACTTCTTTAAGGCTACATTTGGGTACATTTGGGTAATTAGTCGGACCCCACCTTTTCCCCGGAATTCACAATTTATTTTACTTTTTATTTTTTTTACAGGGATTAGCCCACCCTGGCACAGGTCACTCATCCATATCGGGGCCTTGGGGGCAAAAATTTATTACTACTACTACTACTAATGATGATAATAATTCACAGTAAACTAAATTTATAACAAAAAGATAAAAAAATTAAAATTAAGATAATAATAATAATAATAATAATAATAATAATAATAATAATAATAATAATAAAAAAGAACCATAAAGAAATACAAAAATGAAAAAAGATCAAAAGTGAGAAACAATAGATGTATGTTGTGTTGTCAAAGTAAGTGAAAAAATTGAGATCCTGCAATTGTGTGTAAATGAGGCAGAAAGTCAGATCAGCAACCTGGGACTTGGTCACAATTTTTGTGATGCCATATAGCAGCAGGGTCTACCATTAGACAATACCATTGTGCTTCCAATAACTTCCCAGGTGGTAGTACCTCCCTGTTTGATAGCTACCTACTTCCTGCTAATGTCCATATATGAACGGCGACACCCTTCACATGCCATGGTGAAATTTGAACTCGCTGGGCAGAGAGCGACAGCGCAGCTTGCGCAGCGTATGATTGGCTAAGTACCGCTGCATAACTGCTGAGAAAGACAAAATGTAGTGCGCGCCAAACAATGTACTGTAGTGCACGCCTGATTTGTCTAAATATTTACCAAACAAAGCAATTTCCATAAAGATGATTATTGTATCAGAACTCTGATGAAAATATAGCAAGAATATACACATTAAAGCAAATAACTCGTTGGTTGTGAAGTTCTCCATATTAGCCAGGGCTGTTTGATTTGAATCAATTTGATTTAAATCATGCTTTAAATCAAAAGATTAAAAATAATCATTGATTTAAATCTGATTTTTACATGTAAATGTAAAGGGAAAGAAGAAAAACTAAACGAAACTGCTTACAGAGCCTACTGTATTGCTAATCAGACAGAAACAAAATATGCTCTTATTACAGAAGCTTATACAATTAAACACAAGGAACTTCCACTTTTGCAATGTTCACCATTCACTGTTCTCACAGCAAAAATTACAATATTCTTTTGTAACTGAAACAACAAACTCAAATTTCAGATGAGTATCATCACATTTCTTGTCTTAGTTTACATGTTCTCTTGTATTGTACTTATGCTTCAAACAAGTAGGAGTTGTAGGAAAATATTAAGGGCACTGATAACTTGTTTCTAATTTGCATATAGAAAACTAAAGCAAAACCAACTGAATCGCAATACTTTTGGATACAACATTACATTTAATTGTATAAAAATCAATTTCTAATGTCTCCTTGGTTTTGTTACAATACACAACAATTTCTGACTTACTTAAGTATCTTCATTATCATAACCATGAGCAGTGTGTGTATCCAGAGACTTAAAAAAGAAGCACAAGTTTTGCTACTTTTTCTGTACCAAGGCGGTTCCTTAATTTCGAATGAACAAGTCCATAGGAGGAGAAGACTTGTTCAACACCTGAAGATGAGGCTACTGCTGACAGGAGTTGTTGTACTGCTGAGAGTATATCACTGCCCAAAACACTTGCGTGAGAATTCCACCATTCAATAGCCGATACAAGCTTGGTCACATCGTCAATAAACTTAAATGCCTGGAAAGGAGGTGATTTTGCCTGAAACTTCATGATGGTGGGAGCGAGTAAGGGGTATTTCTCATTGGCATATTCAATTGCAATATTCATTTCTTTTTCACTGAGTGCCTTTGGCAAGAAGGTGAATCTTGGTGAGGACTTGGTTTACCTTTTATTTCACTGTTTTGGCCACTTCCTGCGTGATTCTTAAGGGTGTACATAATCCTTTTCAAATATTAACTGCTTCAGCAATTGTGCATTTGTCACTCTGTACCTTATTTAGAGCCACAGCTATTGGCTCCAGTGGAGCCAGTAGTTCCTCTGCAGACCAATTCAACACAAGGTTCGACACCTTGTTTCTTACTCCGAAATCAATCTTTTTCCCTGTTGATTTCTCAGATTTCATGAGAAGTAGCCAGTGGTTTATATAAATCTTGAGGCAGTCTGAGATGGTGTTCTGTCTAATGTCCTGGGGCATGACAAGATGTTGACCACCTTCCTGACAGTATCTTACTGAGGCATAGTGATTGTTCCTAAAATATTTTACCACATAAACCACATGCTCTTTTACATTATCAATTTCCAAGTCATGAGCCAAAAGATTTAGAATGTGTGCTGAACATCCATAGGTCAGCAGGTGCAATTCACTTGATTCTTCTGTTTTTGCATCTTGGTGACATTGGCTGCGTTATCTGTCATGCCATTGCCAACATGACAGCCAAAATCTTCTTCAGACTCCTGGATTGAAGACTTTGTAAGTTCTTCAAGATAATCAGCAGTATGGGGTTGGCCAGATGTGTCCATTGTGTCAACTAGATATTTGTGACCACTTAATGTTGTCAGAGTAACACATATAATGGGATCATTGTGAATGTTAGACCATCCATCTAATGTAAGACATACAGTTTAATTTTGAAGATCATTGACATCGTGTGAGCCTGTGACTAAGGGCTACCACACACTGGCACAGGTTTTATCATGATGTAACAGGTTGGCAGCGAATGATGCTGTACAGTACTCATCTTTGATAATATAATACTGTATATATTACTCATTTTGGACTGTATGATGACTATCATGGTGCAATAATACTTTATTTTAATTTTAATCAAATATATCAGATTTTTTATTAAAAAAACAATCAACAACCCTGATATTAGCCAAATAATTTATCCAAAGGCTCCCTCAAAAAGTCTGGTAAACTTCCAGTCATGGAAATGAACAGGACAAACTGTCCTCGGCATCACCTCTATGATTCAAAATGGAAATGCAGTACTGGAAATTGTAAATGTGATAATATGATAAACTTCTTTCTTGTGCAGTTTTTTGTATTTTCATGAGGTAAGAAAGCATTTACCTTCTATTGTGCAATGGCCTTACAGATGGGAGTTTTAAGATGAATCCACCATTTTGTGAAGCACCTATTGTAATAGAAACTCATGCCACTATTCCTTTTTACAGAATGTGTTATACTACAATATGGCCAATCTTACAAGACAATCAAAATGACCTGCAGATTGATGAGCTAAATAAGGTGCCCCCAAACCTTGTTAAAGGTATAGTAATTTTCTCCAGAAATTACTTTTAATGTTCAGAATGGTTATTTATTTCTTGAGAGGTTGTTTTTATGACAATTTCATTCAATGCTGGGTATCATTTCTTTCCATACAACACTACTGTACGATATCTGCATGTTACAGTGCTTCTCTGTGCTCTCACATACAGTACTTTACTCTCCTGCCATGTCCAAAATGCATCTCAGCATCTGTAATTTGTCTTACTCAGATATACCCATTTTGTCTCTATATTATACTATACATTATCCATTTTATAGACCCTGTGTTTCACTTCAGTATTATGTTATTAAACTGTACTTGGTCAGGTTATGGGATGTTACCACCTGGTCAGCTGAAAATTATTAATATTATTGTATTTTTTTCTTAAAAGGTGCATCTTGGTGTATAAAACCTGAGAATAACATTAGTTTTGGTTGTACAGTACTTATCATTTTGAAGCTCTGGGTCGGGAGGAGTGGCGAGTGCGGCTCGTGGTTGCATGGCGTGACAAACCGTGTTGGGGCATGGACTCATAGTGTCTAGTCCTGGACTTATATATTTATTGTTCCCCTCACATAATTTGATCACTTTTGTTATTTATACTGTATATGGTTAATTTACTCATAACAGTGATAAGTGTACCAGTTACAAGTTTATTGCTTCATATTACCATAACATTATTTACATTATGAACTGCCAACAAAGTGTCTTAATACTGACACACGGCCAACCCTGCACACAAAAAAATCTTTGTTTATCACTAAAGTTACTTCTACAATAATTATATCGGTATTTACGTATTTACAATGTTACTTATTCTGTTTTGTAGTATACAGTACTGTATTATAATGATATGATATTGCTCAAGCAGGGTATCAAGCACAGTGAAACAATCACACTCGCTGCAACAGTACTTAGTGTTTTGTGCACTTTTTCATGCCACACTGTGTTATTGCATACGTGAAAAGGTCTCTGGACGTATTTCTTAGCCTGTTTTGAGGGCAGCAAATTTGGGAAGAGGTGAGGAGAGTGCAGCTGGGGGTGTGTGTGTGTGTGTGTGTGCATGGGTGCAGGGTCAGAAATCAAAGCTCTGCACTTCCCCTCACAACTGTCTCACATCACTCTTCCGCCCCCTATCACACCTTGCCTAACAGTATCGTCTGACTTAAAAGAGCATTTTAGAGGGACAGGTTGTTGAAAAGGGCTGATGTGTTTTGAGAGGTTGCCATTTGTCATATTTTAAATATATTAATCCTTTTGTGCTATTTCAGACCCTGCAGGAATTTAAAAAAATAAAATTTGTAGATCTACGTAATAGACCACTCAGAGAAGGTCACGTGCATACGTAGATCTACGAATTTGACCAATAACGGGTTAATAGTATTTTATCTGGTACTGAATATTTATGTTTGTCTCTGTTATCATAGTTTATTTGGGCTTAACAAATCTTTGAATTTTTGTGGCTACCTTGAAAACACATTGGTTCTATTTATTTATGAAGTTAGAATTTAATTAAAGATCGTTCAGATATCTAGGTGCTTCCCCGCCTGGAGTACTGTTACCCCGTGTCTGGTCCTCGAGATATGCTAGAGACTGTCAGTTGATTGAAAATGTCCAGAGGAGGGCCACCAGACTGGTGCCTGCACTTCGGCACCTCAGTTATCCAAAGAGATTAGAGCACTTGCAACTGCCTAGCTTATACTACAGACGGGCAAGGGGTGACCTTGTGAGCTGTATACACATCTCAAAGGATCACTACTCAGTCGAGTGTCCATACCTGGAGCTGGCGGATGCCCTCCCCACAAGGGGTCACAGCTCAAGGTTGAAGAAACTACAAGTGTAACAAACTGTGAGGGCAAACTTTCTCTGAGAATTGTGAGTTCCTTGAACAACCTGCCAGAAAGTGTTGTGATAGCACCGGAACAGGTTCTGATGCATTCAGGAGCCAGTGCATGCCAAGTACAGTACTTGCCAACAGTGCGTAACAGAGACGTGACCGACTGCCCAAGCGGCTAATGAGTCGATCACTGGTGAAGAGGATAAAAGTAAAAATAAAAGTATTGAGATTTTGTTGTCAGTTATTAATTGAGTTAGCCGTTTTATAAATTCTCATATACATGATACATCAACAGGTACAGAATTCCTCTATTTGTGAAAGAGATGCATTTCTCAAAAAACTTTTCAGATGCAGGTATTAAAATTTTGTTGATAAGGAATGCTTTTCCTGTCAGTTTAAAGTAAATAATTGGCAGTGTGTTCTGGGCAGTCTTCCCAACACTTCTCGTAACCTAAAAAATACATTACAGTATGTAAATGAAGGGATTAGTAATGTGTATCTTTCTAATATTTGGTGGTAAGGGCAGATTTGGAGTTTATTCTGAGTAAAAAATGAGAGACTGGTTACAGGTACAGTAATAATTTTACTTGGCTGTTGGAATCTGCCAGACTGTTTTTCTTACTGCATTAGCCAATTTGGGACTTTTCCAACACTTTATGCCTCTTTATGAGCATCTTTTGAACATTTATTATTTTTAAGTTGTTTGATTTTTATGATACTGTATTTAAACTTTACAGTTTTTGTCTGTGCACTCTATACCCATGTAATATATTTTGTTAGCAGAGGTAATCAAATTGTATTCTGTAGTGAGTGGTTAAATTGTGTATAGTAAGCTTCTTTATATGCATCTTATGTGATGTGATGAGATTTCAAATCTTTTGATCAATTTCTGTATACAGTAGTTGTTGTCCACCCTCTGTTAGTTTATCCTTCAGTGTATTTAAACATTGTAGCAGTAGTTATACAATGAAAGTTTGCCAATAAGTGTACTGTATATTGTATGTTTCACAAGTGCAACTCAAGTTTCATTTTTTACCTTTTTACAGATTTTATGGAGCCTTTCACCTGTAGACAACAGCTTAAGAATTTAATTTGTTATTTACCCAGAGAAGAAAATCCTGAAAGATGGTGACTTTGAAATTATAATTAGAAAAGGAAGGACAAGGTGGGACTGAATAAATGGATGTAAAACTAGAATTGATGTGACATTTTTAAAGACTGCTCCTTGGTAAACTTAAAGAAAGAAAAGGTTTCATGAAGCATAAATTTAATGCATGCCATCACACGCTTAAGATGTCCATGAATAATTATATCTTGTAGAGTTATCTAGTGAAGCTTTCTCAAAGATTAGTTACAGTCAGTGAAACTTCAAATGTGAGAAAGTGTTTGTTAGCAAATTTGTCTTCGTGAAAAACATGGTAAGTCACGCTGAAGAAAAGGTTCTTAAGAATAGGATGGTGAAGAGAGCTAAAAAGAAGCAAACTTGCAATGAGTGTAATCAGGTTTTCATCACAAAGAAAGATCTTCTGCAACATAGAAGAAAAGAGCATCATGCACGAAGGGAAAATGTTTGTTCTTTGTGCAACAGGACATTTGAATCAGATAAACGCCTTAAAATGCATGCATCTTTTCACTACGTTGGAGAATATGAATGTTTTTATTGTCAGAAACAATTTAATAAGGCCTGGAAAATGAAAATTCACCTGGTCAACCATAGTGGCCGCCCCCCATACATTTGTCAATTTTGTGGTGATGATTTTCTCTATCCTGGTAAAATTGTAAACCATTTAAAGCGAATACATGATGTATGGTACGCTTGTAAGGATTGTGGAGAAGCCTTAAATGCTAATGACTCTCTGTATCCCCACAAGTGTAAGGTTTATGGTTGCAAGGACTGTTTAATGTCTTATGACTGCAAGAGTGATCTTGCCAAACATGTAAAATGTCATATAAATGATGACAAACCACCATTAGCTACAATGCCTGTTGTCCCCAGTACACCACCACCTTTAGATCATTCCCAGTTAGAAGACACACAACATTTGCAGCCAGCCAATTCATATGCAAATGTTGAATTTAATGAGTATGATTCTGTTAAGGATACTTTGACAGTAAATGAAAATGGTAGCAGTGATTCAACTAAATCCTGGAGAGATTTAAACACTAATGAAAACACTGAAAATAATGGAGCACAAGATCTGGTCAAAGATCAGAATGTTCATGACACTCTTTTGTTGAGAAATAGTGATGATGATAAAAATGCAAGTGAAACTGATGATGTGATTTTTATAGCAAGTGACAGCTCCTTGGGTGACTTTAAGGTGCCAGAAACAACCTTAAACTTATGGAAAAGGTGTGAAAATCCAGTAAAAAAATCTTTACGTATAAAACAAGACAAAATTGATAAGTCTTTAAGAAAACAGGATGAAATATTGAACAAATTACAGTTCTATGTTGACACTGATGCTAAACTCACACAACGAAGTCAAATTTCTTTTGAATCATGGCTAACAAATGATGCTTTTAACAGTGCTGATCATGATTTTGTGTTTGGTTTTGAGGCAAGTGTAAGTGTAAGTGGTCATCAAAAAGAACCCCAACATTATTTTTTCAATAAAAAGGTTCTAAAAAAAGAAAAGTCTGACATGAACTTTGAGGATCTCTGTTACTTTTAAGAATGTTAACAATATTGTCATAATATTGTTATGTTAAAATACTGTACACTGGGAATAAAAATCTTAAAGTTTGTTATATCAGATCTAGATATGTGTGTGTATGTAGTATTTATTGGTGGTAATGAACAGTGATCTATTTTTTTATTCAAACAATGAGGTGTCTCTTTCTAATTAAATAGTAAATGTTAATTAAATCTGGTATAGAAGAATGCAAGTTATCATATTGAAGCTTGGAAGTTGATCAAAGACATTAAAAACTGATCAATGATAATCAAAGGAAATAACTCTAAAATTTGTTGGTTGTAAAGTATGAATGACAATTTTCATGTTTATGACATTAAAAGCTTCACAAGTTCTACCTTTGATAACATTAGCCTTATTTTAGTACCTGGTTATACTGGCAGTTACTGAGACCTTGTTTTGACAGTTACTGACTTGAAAACATGGTACTGTACATTGATCGTTGGTCTGTGAGCTGCTAATGTATATATAACTCTAGTTGAATGTTATAGTACATTATATAGATTTATTGAGAGCCATATATGGTGCTGCTTGGTTTGTTTCTTTGGCATCCTCTTTAGTGGTCTTGATGCAAGTCAAAAGTAGAATCATTTTTTTAAATTTATACCCTTATCATTAACTAATTATTTTCTCAAGAGTTATATTTAAAGTCTTTCATGTTAATTAATTACCCTTTCAGTTAGTGTTTTTTATTATCATAATGTAAGTACTGTACAGTGATATCCCTGTTAGCCGGAACAATTGGTGCAGAGCACTTCCGGGAATGAGAGATTTCCAGGTAACGAGACAACTCTCTCAAAGCCGGAAAAAAATCCCTCGTTCCAGGATTTTTCCTGGTTATGGAAAAATTTTCTCGAAAGTTCCAGAAATTGCTCATTTTATCATCTTTCGAACCCGGAAAAATATCCCTAATCCATGGAATTTTCCAGGTAACGGAAGTTTTTCTCGGAATTTCCAGAAACTGCCTGATTTTCATCTCTCAAACCCGGAGAAAATCTCCCCCATTTCCGGAATTTTCTGGGTATCGGGAAAATGTTCTTGAAATTTTCTGGAAAATCTTTCCCAAATCCGTAATTTTCCTGAAAATTCCAGCTTTGGGAACGATTTTCCTAGGAAATTTAAATTCCGGTTATCGGAGAGTTCCGGGTTTGAGGGATTCCGGCTAACGGAGATATTATTGTATTAAGGCTTGTACAGGTAACACACAAGATTGGAGATTGTTTCACTCTAATTTTCTTGTTCAAGTCATTTGTCATGGGGGCATTAACCCAGTATTCTAGTCTAAAATTACTAGAGTAGTACCGTCATTAGTTGTCATTTTTTTATTGTGTGTGTGATACTGTAAGTGCAGCACGTAGTAGCATATCTCGGGCACAGATTTTGTCACTTCTGTATTGTGTCAACTGGTAATTACCAGATTAGTTCAAGATGAATTCTATTTTGCACCAAAAATATTTAAAAACTAACTACAGTGCATAAATTCTGAATGGTTTTGGTTTCAAGTAATTGGTTATGTTTACCTCATATGTGTATTGTGTCTCACTATTGTTTCTCAGTTTGTGTTTGCTCACTTAATACTATTTTTCGAGACCCATTTGGATAAATTAAAGAGGAAAGCAGCAATATAACTGTATTATTAAATCTTTGACAGTTTAATAAACAGCCAAATGTCAAAATTTATTAGAATCAATAAATAGCTAAATTGAAATAAGATACTGCACTATAATGGTGAATTTAAGCCAGACTACTTTAAAAATCACATGCGGTTTAGTAACCGTATTGCAGTTTATATTGGTTTGAAGATAGTAGATCAAGATGATTTTTATATATCTTTTTTAACAGATATTAATTATATATAGCTCTCACTCACTCTCACACATTCCTTCCTGGATGTCTCTCACCCTCAGCTTTAGTGTGCCTTCACCACTTTGTACTATCTCTAGTACCTATTTCCCATCCATCTTTGAAATACTGAATACATTCTTTTACTTCTCGTTAAACCAACTGTCTCGGTCCAATTCTTTACTTTCACAAGCCATTATTTTTGCATTACCTATTCTTTGTAATCTATTCACCCCATACAATCTCTTAAGCACATCATTTCTGTCCCATATATCTTCCTTATCCCCTTTTTATTCCACACTACATGCTTTATATTCATCAACTTTTCCCTTTTTCCTCCTTTCCCTCAGTTTCTGTGTATTGCATTTGTCATCTAAGATCAACTTTATAACACATTCACTCCCTCATACCAGAAGCATTTCATATTTGTTATTGTTTCCATTTGTACCAACTTTCTTTTTTTTAATGTTTCTTTTTCCACATGGTGTCTAAAAAAATGTACAAATTACATTATCATATTGTTGTACACATAAAATTACATTAGTCTTAAAAAATGAATGAATTACTGGTATATCATAATGGCATACTATACTGTACACTTAAAATTAAATAAGACACACACACACACACACAGTTTCTATATATTTAATTTATATTTTGTATTAGGGCAAGACTTTCAAGGCAAGTGTTTAGGTTACTTCCCTATGCTTGAAGCAGAAAGTAGCACTAGATATTGTTGGGGGAGTGAATGAGTGTCTTGTATGTTGATTCCATACAAACATTTTTTGCTTCACTATGATCTACTGGGATTGTTAAGAAGAGACAGATAGTGCACTCTGCTATCAGAGTGAGAGAGAGATTGTAGAATGATCATGTCTGACATCTACAGAGGGGTCAAGTGAAATTATCTAAGTTTTATATCTATGGAAGAGTCAAGTGCAGTATATACTTTACCCTTAAAGAATATACTGTTGTGTTGATTAGACACAATATCCCAATTACAGTACAGTACTTAACCAAGTTTACAACTATATCATATACCACAATTTATAGAGTGGCAACCCTAGGGTGAGGTTTAATATATAATTTAGTGCATTAATGTGATTGGTAGCCAACTCAGCACAGGATTGAACCCATGGCTTATGGGTTAGAAGTCTAGAATATTACCAATTGATTAGTGAAATTTGTATAAATTCCCAAACCTGGGAACTTGAACCAGGGATTAGATGGGGAGATAGAACCAATGAAAGATGATATTCTCTTCATCACTTGTCAATAAAAGTCACATTGCTGTTGGAACCACTAGTTCTGCACTATACAGTAATGTAGAGCACATGAATGTTACCCATGGCATTATTTAAATGAAATTATATAATAAAGCTTACCTATCTAGTTCTGGGGATTCAATATGCAAATTGGTATACAACTAATGTACTGTAGTAAAACACCAACCTGAGGGCTCAGTCCTGGGACTAGCTGGATGCCAGTCAAAGGTGATAATTACTTTACTGTTGGTTGATAAAAATCACATCTATCAAGTTGAGTCTAGTGTTATTACACACATTTATATATATATCTGTGTGTGGATTTGCATATATTTTCTTGTTGATGTCCTCTGCCAGGCAACTCATGTCAGAGTATGTTGTCCAAAGGGTTTAGAACTATTTAATTGCCCATCCCTCCCCATCATAATTATTGCCCTTAAAAAGCAAGAAAGGCTGCAAAGTCTGACATGAAGTGGTATGAAGTTACTGTACATGTGCCAGCCACAAGGACACCGTCTTGACTTGGTTATGTTTTAGGGGGGTAGTTTGTAGGTGTTACATACCTTTAAAGTCAAACTGATAATTCTATGCTTCAGTCTTCAGTTATGTAGGATTTATTCCATGCAACTTGCAGAGAGCCAGCTTATAGTTTTAGGAATGTCATGTGCTTATTTTATGGTGAGAACAGCTCGTATTGGGTTTTAGCTGCTCTACATAGAATATCTATTCCTTCACTATCCAAGGGGATGGTATGTGGTTGTGTGATTTTCCTCACTTTTCTAACTGTCTATGGTTAACAACAGCTGACTGACAGAGGTCACCAACCTAGAAGGGAAGTCCTTAGCCAGGCACTTCAGATACCCTACCTCCTCCCATAGGCTCTTGATTAGTCAACTGGAAGTTAATTCTCAATGTCTGATTGATTCTTTAATCAAGATGGTGGCCATGTGACTGGCATGAAGTTTGTACTGTACTGGCTAGGTAGACATGGCTACTTCTAGATCTCCTGCCTCTAGAAGGCAACCAGTGCAACCAATCTCCCATTTTAAGGGTGACAGTTATGATGGGGAGGGATGGGCAATTACAAGATTAACCTCTATATGGCATCTTAACAAGTACTGCCAAACTACTGGTCTATTTAGAAAATAACATTTAAGGGTCAGTCCCTCATTTGTATATGAGGATGTAGTGAAGTGCTTTATTGTTCATAGTGCAAGAAAAAAATGTGGCGAAATAGTTGGTGACCCTTGGAGGATACTGTATGTACAGTAGCTAAAACAACTATCTGTGCAGGTGGGGATCGATATGCTTCAAAATTTTACGTGTGACTAGTGACAGCCCTCATATACCAAAATTTATCGTCCATGGTCTCATTGTTTCCCACAAAGTATGCACAGATAGTTGTTTTAGCTGCTAAACATAATGCCTTGTAAAGTGAAGATGGCTTAAAAATTTACACAATAATGCATCAATTGCATAGAAAATATATTAAAGAAAATATTTGGAAGCTATTAATAGTTTAAACAACTTCACATTATGATTGTTAATGCTTGTTGGAAATTTGACATGTTAATCTTAACAGTTTTAATTTGTGTTTTAGTATCAAGACACTTGAACAGTTTAAACTGTTGCTTTCAAATTTTTAAGTTCAAATGTTTACAAAATGTCTGGTTCCATAGGTAATATTTTGTGAAAACTTATAGATTGATAAGTGAGACTGGGTTAGTTAACTTAACTTGCTCATTCTGACAAATTCCCGAGTCAAGAGATGTGAAGGTCACATGATACTGAAAGGTTTAAGGTCATAGCTTGAAGACAGGGGTTTAGGAATATGTAGTATGAATTTTGGATTATAGAAGTAACAAGTTTAAGATCACAACTGATTAATAACTTGAAAACACAGTACTGTACTGTAGTGCATAATTTTCAAGGTACAGTACTACTGTATAGGCTTTTCAGACTTATGTATTGGATATTTAATTCTAGTCTTCACTTCAAGACTTTTGGATAAATTAGGTTGCTGAAACATGTTTGTGCTGTTTTGAGAACAGTCTAGTCTCCAGGTCTTATTATTAATTTTTCATTTGGCCTGCATCAGGCTGTAACCATTTAATTTTTGAAGTAGACTTGTGTCTTTAGATTGGATTTATTTTCTCAGAACAATACTGTACAGCATTTGGTTATAGTACAGGTTTCTTGAAGCACTATGGTAGGGTTGTTATCCATTA